AGGAAAAGCCCTGCTGAGTTTTGATCAGCAAAGTACAGGGTTTGCCCGACTCAGTAGGCACCACCCGATGGGCGCTCCCTTGCTTAGCTCGCTCGCGTCTTTTGATCTGTTATTTCTTTAAATGACCAGAGGGGACTCAGCAGGGGTAGGAAAGCTACAAGTCTCTGGAGCGGTTTGCTCATTAGGAAAAGAGCGCATCCATCCCCAGAAGACTGAGTGGGTTTTGTGAGCCAACGGTTGGCTCTTGATTAGTAGAGGCCCAGTTAGGGACCTGTGACCACTCCGATACAAGGGGTCAAAATGGAACATGGGCTACACAACAGGCTTGCTCCAAGAATCAGGTCTTGAAAGGTGCCGCTCCCGCTGAAGCTCCTGGGATTTGCCAGGGGGTCAGAACTGTGGTGTACGTGGCTCTATAGCGTAGCTGTCGTGGTCTTGTTGTCTGTGCCCCATCTTTAGTGTATTTTTCTTCACAACAACCTGGGAGCAGCAGTGTTCCCTGTAGGCTGAGCGCTTGGGTGGCCACCCAGGAAAGATTCAGGTGCCACCTAGCTGATTAGCACAGCTGGCAGCATGTGTGTCTATGGGTGGTGCACATCTGTCCATGCCTTGGTTCACATAACAAAATTTATTCTACACATGGAAAAAATCGGAACAATGCCAGGGAAGGTGCTACTGCTGTTATTCCCATTTATAGCTGGGGAACAGAAGCACAGAGAGGCAGAATGACTCACTCAGTCACACACAAAATCTGTGACAAAAAAGGGTATGAAGCTGGGATTTCCTAGGTCACAGGTCAGGGCCCTATGCACTGGATCATCCCTACTCTCTTCATTCTGTTGTCTTCCATCCTCAGAGAAAAGTCTGGTCACTAACAGTCAAGAAAATTGGGCAAGGGAAAAAGAGTTATTTTGCATTCTTCAAGGCTAAGTCTCCACTGCCCCTTTATTGTGCTGCAACTTGCTGGCTTAGGGGTCTGAAAAAACACCCTTCCCCCAAGCGCAGCAAGTGACAGCGCTGGAAAGCTCCAGTATAAACGGGTTCCCAGTGCCGTTTGCTACTCCCCTCTCGGGACACTGGGCTCATGCTGTGGCCACTCTTCTGGTTGAAAGCGCTGCACCTGCCTCAGCAGTGGCTGCGTTTAATTTTAGAAGCATAGGCAAAGCCTGAAAAAGGTCTAAGAGGCTGATTTCAAATGTATTTAGATGCCTGAAAATGCAGACAGGCACCTGGGAGTTTATCTACCTCTTCAGGTCCCTAAGGGTACGTCTACACTGTGGAGCTACCAGAAGTATCCTGAAATAGCTACCCCATGTCTATTGAAGCAGTCTGTTATTTCGAAGTAGATTTTGAAATAACGGGGGGGGGGTTATTCCGACATCCCAGTAATGCTCGTTCCACAAGGGTTAAGGGAAATTTTGGAAGAATGAGTTATTTCGAAAGTTGGCGCTGTGTAGTCTCTTTAGAAGAACTCACAAATAGCAGCACCATGGGCCTGTTTCTCCCCTCACTTACAGGCGTTTTGCACTGTTGTTATTCCACTTGCTTCGGTGGGGTTGTCCAGGATCTCACTGTTGCAAGAGGAGTATCAGGCCCAGTGTTGCTCTGTGGTCCACAAGAACCCGTAGGCTGTCTCTGTGCTGAGAGTGGTGCCTTATTTCTGTTTCTTGAGTGGCACTGTGCTCCCCCAGATGTCCTTACAGATCCCTAAAGGAGTCAAGAAAACGAGGGCTCCTTAGCCATCTTCTTAACCGGCGTATCTAGGGTCTCATCCTGCTGAGTGCTGCCTGATAGGTTCTGGTCACCCTGAGCTCCATTTGATGTCTGGCTTCAACTGTCTCACACTATTTGCACAGCCCACGAGCCATAGAGAGTACTTCGGTGGTTTATAGGTGGCAGCTGCTCCAGCCCCACAGCGCTCACTGCGGTAAGGGGTGCGCCAGCCTGGCCAGGGAAGCCCCCATTTGTGGAGGGAGGGACTGCTCCAGCCCAACTGGAGCGACCCCTGCTTGTCCCGATTTAATCGGTTAACCGGTTGAACTTAACGTTTAACCGATTAACTAATCAAATGGGATTTTACATTCCTATTTTAAAAGTCCACTCATTTCTTATCTGCAGGCTTAAAAACAGACAGTTTCTCCCTCTGCCTTGACACCTTTGCTAATTCACCCTGTGAGTGATGCACTTTGAAGTTGTCTGTAAGCAAAAGGGGCTAGAGGTGCAATGGAGCTAGCTTTTGGGGTCTTATTCACTCCCATGGAATTGCAACTGTTCTCTTGAGACCTCAACAGGTTGCTAGTTGAGCAAAAAGGAACCAATGTTTGTAGATTGTCAGTTGGTCAGGATCTCCCCTGAAAAAGCCACGTTGAATTCTTCGCTGATTTTTCATTTACGCTACCACAGAAAGTCGACCTTAAGGTATGCGATTCCAGCTACGTGACTAACATAGTTAAAGTCAAGGTACTGCCGGGTCTTGTTGGGGGTTGAGTAGCAGGGCTGATAAGAGAGTGATCTGCAGTTGATTTGGCAGGTCTTCAATAGACCTGCTAAATCGACGGCCGGTGGATCGATCTCAGAACCTGCCTCCTCGTGGTAGGTAGAGGTAGTCTTTGTGCGTAACAGCCACGTCGGCAGGTAAACAAGCTAATCACCAGGGTGTCTCTCTTCTGTGGGAGAGCCTGACAGGTAATAATTGCAAGATGGTACTTTGAGGAGGGTGTTCGTTCTCACAAAACCACCTGTCCCCATCTTGCTTTGCAGATTGAAGCCCTCCTCATGGAGATGCAGAATCCAGACACTGGCATCAAAATGCACACTCAGAGAGTGATGATCACTAACATCCCGCATGCTATGACAGGTAAGATGCCAATGACACCATCCGGCTATTTTTCTAAGTTTCCTGAGAAGAGAGAGTTTCTTCATACAAACAGCAATACACAGAAAACTGGCTTTTCCTGCTGTTATATAAATAGAAGGCTCCCATCATCCTGAATGCTGTTTTTTGGGGGTAAAAAAGGGGAAAATGGGCTTGTGCTTTCCTCCTCTTACTTGTGTTTCTGTGAAATATACACAAGGCTTGAGAGGGTTTTGTTAATAATAATAAAAAAATCTGTTTGTTATTTACATTGGAAAGCCAAGTGTAATCTACCCAGGAGACTCTATGGATGACTGGAGACCTTGCGAGATGACAACATCAGACGAGAGAGGTGACTACAGGCTGGTCAACTGAGAGGGGAAGGAGCTTTTAGTCAGGCTGGTTAAAACTCCTGGTTAGCTTTTTGTGTATACAACTATTTGTCTTCTAGCAGGAGGCCTCTGTTAGGGATAAAATCAAGATCCTGTCTCCATTTACTACCACTGAGGAGGAATATTGTTCCTTTGTTAAAGGCTGGATCGTAGGTGTAAAGAGTGCTGAGAATTTTGACAAGCAAGCAAGTGCAGCACAAATGAGCATTTAAATCCAGAGAGGGGATTTAATCTGGATAGGCTGGGCAGAAACTCTTTAACCATGCTGACTTAAAAGCGTATGACTAATACTGACCTTCTAGCTAATGTTCTAAAACTCTAGGGTTACGTCTATGTTGGCAAGATTTTGCACAAAGAGTTTTTGCGTTAGGGTATTTGCGCAAGAAAGCGTCTACACTGGCATGTGCTTTTGCGCAAGAGATGTGCTTTTGTGCAAAACTAATGTTCTAAAATTCTAGGGTTACGTCTACGTTGGCGAGATTTTGCGCAAAGAGTTTTTGCGTTAGGGTATTTGTGCAAGAAAGCGTCTACACGGGCATGTGCTTTTGTGCAAGAGATGTGCTTTTGTGCAAAAGCATCCGTGCCAGTGTAGACGCTCTCTTGCGCAAGAAAGCCCTAATGGCCATTTTAACCATCGGGCTTTCTTGTGCAGGAAATTCATGTTGCCTGTCTACACTGGCCTCTTGCGAAAGAACACTTGTGCAAGAGGGCTTATTCCTGTGTGGGAGCGTCATAGTTCTTGCGCAAGAAGCCCTGATTTCGTACATTAGAATGTCAGTGTCCTTGCGCAAGAACTTGCGGCCAGTGTAGACAGGAATCAAGATTTTGCGCAAAATCTCACCAATGTAGATGTAGCCTTGGATCGATGAAACAATATGTGCCAGTTAAGTACCTAAAATGAGCCATGTGCCTGCGCAAATACCTGATTACATCAGATGTTTTGCCCACTTACGAGGAATCTTCCCTCTAATTTTTCCCACCCGTGAGCAGAATAAATTGTGTTAGGTGCACCAAGGTATGTGTGGATATGTACCACCAGTAGAAACATGTTGAAGACTGCTGCCAGCTGTGGACGCTCGGCTAATCAGCTGGGCAGCATTTGAATTTCTTCTTGGAAGCCACCCAAGCGCTCAGCTTACAGGGAACATTGCTAGTGATCCGCACGGGTTAGGAGGCAGTCAGTCACTTACAGGTGCATTCACTGGGTCTTAACTCCAGGACTTGCAGGGGATGAGGCTGTGCCATATCACACATGGATATACATTTCCTGAAAGAATTAAAATAGGCAGAGTGATACCAGACTCTAATATGGAGCTTTAGAAATGAATGGCAACTAATTAATCTTCCTTTTTTACATTTTCTGGTAATAATAATTTTTTCTTAGATTCACTGGAGAGGAGCAAAATATTCAACCCACTTCTATGCTTCTAAATTACAGCTTTTTCTCATTTCAATATGTGCAAGAAGAAATAGACAGGTAGCTGTGCTTTGATGTGCCAAATTTGTCATTGGCATTAGCTTCTTAACACACTCTCCTTTTGTGTATGGCAGCTCTTTTCACGCAGTGCTGGAAATACACTATAAACGCCTTCCCTTCCCTTGAAACTGTCAGATGCACCCTTATGAGGTATATTGCATAATGATTATTAGGGATGTGAAGGACTAGTCGACTATCCGATAAGCAAATGCTTATCGGTTAGTCGACTAGTTGCTTCCCCACCCCCGCTGCCTCTATCAGAAAGAGGCAGCCAAGGGGATGGGGAAAGAAGAGGAAGTACTTCAAAGCAGCAGTGCCATGTGCAGCTGGGTTGTCCCTGGGCTGCACACAGCATTTCAAAGCAGCAGCGCTGCGTGGAGCCCGGGATCAGCTGGAGAGTCCCCAGCTGATTCCAGGCTCCATGTGGCATTGCCACTTTGAAACGCTGGGGAGCCCAGCATCAGGCTTCTCGTGGCATTTCAAAGTGGCAGCGCCACGTGGAACTCGGGGGTCAGCTGACCCCGGGCTCCACGTGGCGCTTTCATAAGAATGGCCATACTGGGTCAGACCAAAGATCCATCCAACCCGGTACCCTGTCTGCTGACAGTGGCCAATCCCAGGTGTCCCAGAGGGAATGAATCAAACAGGTAATGATCAAATGATCTCTCTCCTGTCATCCATCTCCACCCTCTGACAAACAGAGGCTAGGGACACCATTCCTTAACCATACTGGCTAATAGCCATTTATGGACTTAACCTCCATGAATTTATCTAGTTCTATTTTAAACCTTGTTATAGTCCTAGCCTTCACAACCTCCTCAGGCAAGGAGTTCCACAGATTGACTATGGGCTGTGTGAAGAAGAACTTCCTTTTATTTGTTTTAAACCTGCTGCTGCTCCTGGCCATCCTTGCTGCCGCGGCATTGACTGGCACCCCAGTCTCTTCAAATTGTCGCCAGAGCACCGCATGGCACGTTCCAAGCAACACCAAGGGCTGCCTCGCCTCAGCCCCGTCTCTTCCGCCTGAGGCTACGCCCCTTCCGGGGGTACGGAGCAAGGTCCTTCCCGCCTGGCCTAGAGGTCCGGCGAGGCTGTCAGCCCTGCTGGAGAACACTTATGAGCAGAGCTCTCTAGGTCTGAGTGACAGGATAATCTTTTAATTTAATCTATTTACGGAAGCAGTCAGTGGGAGAAAAGCTCCTGTCTCCTGGTACATGGCTAAGTAATCAGGATAATGTCAGGAAAGGTCAACATTTCAATCCGCAACGGTAGGTGACATTTGAAGGGAAAAACTAGTAAGTGATTGGGGACGGAAGGCGATTTAGCTTGGCCTTGTTTAAATGGCAAGAGCTTCCCCATTTTGTTTGCTCCTCAGAAGATAATAAAAGGGCTGGGGGAAGCTGATGCCGACTTTGTATTGAGCTGATGGGTACAGGCCATGTCACCTCCGAGAGACCTGTGAAAACTGAAGAGCATTTGAGTACCTGGAACGTGGCTTCCCTCAGATACATCGTATTAACCTGTCTGTCAAGAGTGGTCATGGCAGAATTCAATTCAAAGGGAAATGTGAAAGAGAAAGTGTTTGGTATTTGCAAAAGCAGGTAACAAATTGAACCACCCTAGGGGCTAGCGAAGACCAATTATTTAATTGAGGTGGCCTTCAGGTGCAGGGATGGGCAATAATTTTTGATAGGGGGGCCACTCCAAGAATTTGGAAAATGGTCAAGGGCCACACTCTTCCATGATAGAGTAAATCTCCAATGGTCCGGTATCCAGTTGTCCGGCACTCCTGATAGTCTGGTATCAAAATGGCAAGAGCCTAGTGCAAGGGTGGCCAACCCAAGGCTCCTGACGGAACCGGGACAAAACCCGGAACCGCTCAGGTCAGCCGCTCTCACGGCCGGGCCGCTGTGAACTGCATGTGTGCTCATGGCCCGCGCCATTCCGCTCACAGCCCCCAGCACATTGCGTCGTACCCTGCACGTGTGTGCCAGGTCGCACACAGTGTCCCAGCCTGCATGTGCTAGCAGTTGGCTGCTGAGCGCAGGCAGCTGCTTCGGGACCCGGACATAAGGTTGGGGGGAGGAATGCCTGGCTCTGGAGAAGGGAAGAGGGATTGGGGGAGGGGGAGGCGATGCACATGGCGTATGCGGCGCAGTGGCTCTGGCTCTGGGACCCAAGCATAAGGTTGAGGGGGAGGAGGGGGATTGGGTTACAGCAGGGAGGGGAGGTGTTTGACTCTGGGGAAGGGGAGGGGAGAGGAGAGGGATTGAGTTGCACATGGCCCCAGACGCTAGCTCATGCTCAAAGTGTCTCCTAGATTGCATAGCCATTGATTGACTATGGGGTGCTTCAAAACAGATCAACCTCTAGGTAGTGGGGTCTCATTTTAGGGAGAACACCAGGCCGGACAATGTGGGGGAGGGTAAGGGGACAACCGTCCAGGGCCTGGCAATACAAAAGGGCCCGAAGCTGCTGGCCATCCTCGCTGCCGCGGCATTAATTGGCACCCCAGTCTCTTCAAATTGCTGCCGGAGCACCACATGGCACATTCCAAGCAGCACCAAGGGCTGCCTCGTCTCAGCCCCGTCTCTTCCGCCTGAGGCTATGCCCCTTCCTGTGCCTCAGTGCCTGGAGGGAGATGTGCAGCTGTAGTGGCAATTAGGTTAGAGCGGGGGGAGGGGGGGATTGGGTTGGGAGTATGCCCCTTTATAGTACCTCCTGCTAGTCCAGCATATCCGACAATCTGACACCACCTATGTCCCAAAGATGCTAGATTATCAGAAGTCTACTGTATTAATGGAGTTGGTGTGGAGTCTGGGAGGGAGGTTGGGTGCAGATGGGAACTTGGGGGTAAGGGAGGGAGTTTGGGTGAAGGAGGCAGTTGAGACTGGGGCACTGGTCTGGAGTGCAGGGGGTTGGATTGTGACCTAGGACAGGGGGTTGGATTGTGACCTAGGACAGGAATTGGGGTAAGGAGGGGGTGCAGGAATTTGGGTTGTGAGCTAGCGAAGGAGGGGACTGTGATCTGAGGCAGGGGATTGGGGTGCCGGATCTGGGAGGGGCTATGGGTACAGGAGGGGGCAGAGGATTTGGGTATGTGGAGTAGGGGGCAGGAGTGGGGGGCAGATGATTGGGGAAGGGAGGGACTGGGGTGCTAGAGACAGGCTCTGCCAGGAAACTTACCAGCCAACACCTTCCTGCCCCGCCCTCGCACAGGCTGCAGCCATGTGCTCTGGAGCCCCTTGTGCTTCATGGCTGCCTATTATTGAAACAGGCAGCTCCCACTGGCCAGTTTCTGTCCAGAAACCGGCCAATGGGATTGTGCTGGGGGTGGGAGCAGTTCCTAAAGCTTTCCCCCTCCCCTCTGGATTCTCTGTTTTTAAAGAAAAACCGCCCCACAGCTGTGTTTGAGTGGCGTGTGGGTGTGGTGAAGCAAGCAGTGAGTCTGCCTGGGGCTCCCCACAGTGTCTGCAGGCTGGATCTGGTGGGACAGATTCGACTTGCGGGCCAGATTTTGCCCAGGCCTGTTCTAGTCCAACAGCTACAGAACTGGGCTGTGTGCATTTGGGTCTGTCTTTTAAGGTTACATGTTGCCAAGTGAAGGTGCGCGCTCTTTCGTCATTCAGTCCTTTTTATCCAGCCATTTCTCCTTGGGGTTGCAGGCCTGCTCCAGCTTCCAGGGGCTTCCTTTGACCATACCCGTGTCCAGTCTGTGAGATCAGGTGGCAGGAAAGTGCATGCATTGCATACGCAGGGAATTCCCATTTGTGACACGCACCCCGTGTGGAAAATGCACACGAGACCTCTGCACCGCTTGCGTCCCACGTAAGCCAGAACACTGGGGCTGACATGATTCCTAGACCCGAGTGGGTTCTTTGTGTTTTCACTCTCTGTGAGGGTGGGCAACCAAAATTCCTAGCACCGCCATTTTGAACCTTCCCATGCCCCCATCAAAAATTTCCTTAATTGGGAAACCATTGTTTCCACAGAACAGATCTTTGGGGCATATTTTCATATATGGAGGAGAGACGGTTCTTGGAAATATTGGAGCCCTGAAGATTCTGCCCTCACATTTCTTCCCTTAATACTCCTCACCTTTGAGGTCCCTGTTACAGCCCCCAGCCTTCTGGCCCAGGGTGACTGAGGCTATATCTACACTGTGTTTTTGTTCCAGCAGACAATATGCTAATGAGCACTTAATTTGCATATCACATGCTCATTTGCATATCCTATTCTGAGCCTTTTTGTGGAAGAGGTTTTGCCGTTAAAAAGCCCTGTGTAGACGGGGCCATTTGTCGGAAAAAAACTTTTGAGCAAGATCTCTTATTCCTCAAAAAATGAAGTTTACAGGATCTTGCGCAAAAGGGTTTTTTTTTCTGACAAATAGCCCCATCTACATGAGGCTTCT